AGCAGCAGCAGCAGCAGCAGCTGCTGCCGACTCCCAACAACAACAGCAGCAACAACAGCAGCAACAGCAGCAGCAACAACACCCCTCCCCCCCCCAACCCCACCCCCTCCCCGGATCCTCGGGATCGGGATCGGGATCGGGATCGGGATCGCACCCCACATACGTCTCCCCGTCCCTCTACATCGGCGACCTCCACCCCGAAGTAACAGAAGCCATGCTCTTCGAAGTCTTCAACGCCGTGGGCCCCGTGACCTCCATTCGAGTCTGCAGAGACTCTGTCTCCAGGCGATCCTTGGGCTATGCTTACGTGAATTATCAATCCTTAAATGATGCAGAAAGGGCCTTAGACGCTCTCAACTTTGCGTTGATTCGGGGACAGCCTTGCAGGATAATGTGGAGTCAAAGAGACCCTTCTTTGCGGCGGAGTGGGGCGGGGAATGTCTTTGTGAAAAACCTGGACAAGTCGATTGACAATAAGGCCCTTTACGACACTTTTTCTCTCTTTGGAAACATTCTGAGTTGCAAAGTCGGAGTTGATGAGTTCAATCGAAGCAGGGGTTATGGATTTGTTCATTACGAGACAGAAGCTTCTGCAAGAAGTGCAATTGAGAAGGTTAATGGCATGTTAATCGGGGGAAAGACTGTTTATGTGGGGCCCTTTGTGACCCGCAGCGAGCGGGAGGGCAGCAGCAGCAGCAGCAGCAGCAGCAGCAGCAGCAGCAGGTTCACGAATGTGTATCTTAAGAACATCCCCGCCTGCTGGGGGGCCCCCGAGACCCTGAGGCCCCTCCTGTCTCCGTTCGGAGACATCACCAGCCTCGTGCTGCGCCAAGACCCCAAGGGGAGACTCTTTGCCTTCTGCAACTTTGCGCAGCATGCTGCAGCAAAGGCCTGCGTCGACAGCCTCAACGGCAGACTCGTCAACGCCCACGGCTTCAAGGAAGACAGCAGCAGCAGCAGCAGCAGCAGCAGCAGCAGCAGCGGCAGCGGGGAGGGGGAGGGCGGCGGGAAGGGCGGCGAGGAGCCAGAGACCACGGGAGGGGCGGGGAAGGACAAACAACAGCAGCAGCAGGAACAGCAGCAGCAGCAGCAGGAGGAGACTGCAGCAGCAGCAGCAGCAGCAGCTAATGGTGCCGACGACCCCAGCAGCAGCAGCAGCAGCAACAACACGCCGAACGGGACCGGCGGGGAGGAGGGGGCAGCAGCAGCAGCAGCAGCAGCAAACCCCACAACCACCGCAACCACGACGAGCAGCAGCAGCAGCAGCACGAACAGCAGCAGCAGCAGCAGCAGCAGCAGCGGGGAGGAGATGGTGTTGTTTGTGGGGCCGCACCAGACGCGGGCGCAGCGGTCTGCTGCGCTGCGGCAGCGCTACGAGCAGCAGCAGCAGCAAAAAGGAGACAAGTACAGAGGAGTGAATCTTTATGTCAAAAACCTAGATGAGGGTATAGACGACGCGGAGCTGCAAACCCTTTTTGAGGGTTTCGGGCCCACCAACAGCGTCAAGGTCATGCGCGACGAAAAGGGTTTGTCTCGAGGGTTTGGCTTTGTCTCTTTCGAAAACCCTGAAGATGCAACAAGAGCAGTTTCCGAAATGCATTTAAAATACATTAAAGGAAAACCCTTGTACACGGGCTTGGCGGAGAGAAGGGACCAGCGGCTGCAGCGGCTGCAGCAGCGCTTCCGGGGGCCCCCGGGGGCCCCCCCGCCAGGGGCCCCCGGGGGCCCCCCTCGTCCCGGGGGGCCCCCCGCCCCCCGTGGGCTTCGCTGCTGCTGCGGGGCCCCCGGGGCCCCCCCTCCCCGGGGTGCCGCCCGCTGCTGCGTACCCCCAGAGGCCCGTGCTGTACCCTCCGCAGGGGCCCATGGCCATGCTGCCGTGGGCGGGGCGGCAGCAGCAGCAGCAGCAGCACTTCCAGCAGCAGCAGGGCCTCGCGCTGCAGCGGGGGCTGGCGCCAGCAGCAGCGCTGCAGCACATCTACGGGCCCCAGTCCGCGGTGGCGGCGGCCGCCGCGCTGCAGGCCTCGCTGCAGCAGCAGCAGCAGCAGCAGCAGCCGCTGCTGCAGCAGCAGCGCGGCCCTGCGGGGCACCGCGGCGGGCGGGGGGGCGCTGCGAGCAGCAGCGCGAAGCAGCAGCAGCAGCTGCTGAAGCAGCAGCAGCAGATGCCGGGCGGCGGCTCCTTCAAGTTCACGCCGCAGGTGCGGAACCCGCGGCTGGAGCAGCAGCAGCAGCAGCAGCAGCAGCAGCAGCTGCACCTGGCCGCCGCGCCGCAGCAGCAGCAGCTCGACGCAGCAGCAGCAGCGCACCTCCTCCTCTCCCCCGACGCCCCCCTCACTGCTGCAGCACTTGCTGCAGCACAGCCCTCGCTGCAGAAGCAAATGCTCGGAGAAAGACTTTTTCCTTTAATCGCTCGCCATCAGCCAGAACTTGCAGGAAAAATAACTGGAATGATGTTGGAAATGGACAACAGCGAGCTGCTGATTCTCCTCGAGAGCGAGGCCCAGCTCAAGAGCAAGATCGACGAGGCCCTCGGGGTCCTCAGAGGCGCGAACTGAGCTGCTGCAGCAGCAGCAGCAGCAGCAGCAGCAGCGGCGGGGGGAGCAGCAGCAGCAGCGGCGGGGGGAGCAGCAGCAGCGGGGGGAGAGGCAAGCGCGCGGGGATAGGCGCGGGCGAGCGCGCGCTGCTGCTGCTGCTACGCGCTGCTGCCTTCGTAGCAGCAACAGCTGCTGCTGCTGCAGCAGGAACAGCAGCAACAGCAGCAGCTGCTGCAGCAGGAACAGCAGCAGCAGCTGCGGCGAGGAACAACAGCGGCAGGAGAGGCGGACTGGTGCAGGAAAGATGGCTTTGTGCCCGTGCGATGTAGCAGCAGCAGCAGCAGTTGCTGCTGCTGCAGCAGCAGCAGCACGGGGTGACGCAGCGAAGACTTCAGCGTGGTGGTGGCCCTCGAGTCTTCTTTGCTGCAGCAGCAGAACGCAAATCTGCTGCAGCAGCAGCAGCAGCAACAGCGCCAACAGCAGCAGCGTCGGGTTGTGTCTTCACAGATAGCACAGGAGGAGAGGAGGCAACAGGTGCTGTGGCTGCTGCTCCTAGGACAGCAGCAGCAGCAGCAGCAGCAGCAGCAGCAGCAGCGCGGACCGCTGCGGCAGCAGCTGCTGCTGCTGCCCATCAATGCACAGGCGGAGACAGGGGAGACAGAGTTGTCTCGCGTCTTCGTTTCCTTTGCTGCAGTGTCAGCAGCATTTGCTGCAGCAGCAGCAGCATTAGCTGCAGCAGCAGCGGCACTTGCTGCTGTCGCTGCAGCAATTGTTGCAGCAGCAGCAGCAGTTGCTGCTGCTGCTGCAGCCCTATGAGTATATCCATAGAAGCAAAAAAACCAAAAACAGAATATTTAATCCAACGCCGACTCAGCAAAACAAGCAGCAGTTACACACCCTAAACCCTAAACCCTAAACCCTTAGTTAGAGTATAGCGAGCGCTATGCCATCCAGTCCTTAGCATACGCAGCGCAGCAACAAAATTGCTGCTGCTGCTGTTGCTGCTGCTGCGGTTTGCCCCCAATCTTGGCGAAAGGCCGTGTCTTTGCTTCTGCAGCAGCAGCAGCAGCAGCAGCAGCAGCAGCAGCAGCACTTAGCAGTTCACTATTGGCTAGAGGAATTCTCTGGCGCAAGCAGCAGCAAAAGACAGCGTCAGCAGCAGCAGCAGCAGCAAGGAGGCCTGCAGCAGCAGCAGCAACTGCAGCACCTCAAGCGCAGCCTTAGCAGCAGCAGCAGCAGCAGCAGCAGCAGCAGCAAAACATGCAGAAGCAATAAACCACTCAATCTGCTGCCTGCTGGCTAGGGTTTCCCGAAACCCTAGCAACTGCTAAACCCTAAACCCTAGTGAGTCGTTGTCAGCCCCAAACCCTAAACCCTAATAAGCCTCCGCTGCTGCACTACAGATCCCAGTGGCTCCAGCATCCCAAACCCTAAACCCTAGAGTATCTCCAAACCCTAACCACTGAGTTGTTCCCGTCCTTCCGTAAACCCTAAAACAGCGGTTGCAAACCGCGCATGTCAAGTCCAAAACCCTAAAACAGCGTTTCAAGAAGCAGCCTCTAAGCAGCACAAACCCTAAAAGAGGGTTTCCAAGACCTAATAAACCCTAAAACAGCGGCTCCAAAACTAGCAGCCAAGTGCACTAGCGAACTAACAACTAAGTAAACCCTAAACCCTCGAAAAACCCTAAACCCTCGAAAAACCCTAAACCCTAAAACCACGCAGCGCAGCTCTTAAGAAAGCCCGCAAAGTCCAGCGCGCCCCAAAAGCCCCCGCTGCCGCCTTGTGCGCAGCAGCAGTTGCTGCTGCTGCTGCACCTGCTGCTGCTGCTGCAGCAGCAGCAGCAGCAGCGGGAGGCCCCCGGGCCCAAATCTGGCGGCGAAAAGCGCCACCGCCACCCCGCCCCGCCGCCCGCTGCAGCAGCAGCAGCAGCAAGTGCAGCAGCAGCAGCAGCAGCAGCAGGAGTCTCAGTAGATGTACTTCTTTTCAAAAAGCGACTCCGAGGCCTGGGCCCCCCCCGCCCCCCCCTTGTAGCAGCCGCGCTGCGCCTCGCTGCAGGCCTTCGCGCGCAGCAGCAGCTGCTGCTGCGCTGCTTCCCGGTTTGCTGCTGCTCCCTTCCAGGCCTTAAGACACGAGGCCTGCAGGGCCCTCCCAAAGCTGAAAGAAAGGGCCCACGGCAGGGGGCCCCCCTGGGGGGCCCCCCCCTGGGGGCCCCCCTGGGGGCCCCCCTGGGGGCCCCCCCGGGGGGCCCCCATCTGGTTCATTGCATTCAAATTGAGTGCTGCTTCTTCTTCACTTTGGCCTCCAGACAAAAACATTATTCCCGGAAGAGCCGGAGGAACAGTTCTGTAAAGAGTCCGGATTGTGTAAAAGGCAATTTCCTGCGGAGTCGAGGGGGGCCCCTGGGCCCCCGGGGTGACCATGTTGGGTTTGAGGAGGGCCCCCTCGAGCAGCACTTTGTGCTGCTGCAGCTGCGCGAAAACTGCTGCCAGCACTTGCTGCGTCACTGCAGCACAAACTGCCACATCATGAGGCCCATCTGTTAAGATCTCGGGCTCCACTATGGGGACAAGTCTTTGCTGCTGACAGATAGCAGCATAGCGGGCCAGGCCGTGGGCCACTTCGGCCACGGCGAGGGGCGAGGGCTTTGCTGCTGCTGCTGCTGCTGCTGCTGCTGCTGCTGCTGCTGCGTCGATCTGCAGCACGGCCCGCCACTTCGCGAAACGGGCCCCTGCTGCGTAGTACTTCTTGCAGCGCTCACTTAACCCATCCAAGCCCAAGGTGGCCTGCTCGCCGTCAGTCCCTGGGATCGTCTCCAGCCCCTTGTCCACTTTTATCCCCGGAATGATCTTTTGCTGCTGCAGCAGCTCCACCAGGGGGGCCCCCGAGGGGCCCTTCTGGAACAAAGTCTCTTCAAACAGGATCGCCCCGCTGCAGTACTCCCCCAGCCCCTTCGTGCTGAACAGCAGCTCGCGGTAAGCCGCCCGGTTCTCCTCCGTGTTCTCCACGCCAATCGACGCAAAACGCTTCCCTATCGTCCCTGCAGCAGCAGCAGCAGCAGCAGCAGCAGCGGGAGTGCAGCAGCAGCAGCAGCAGGGGGTGCTGCTGCTGCTGCTGCGGAGGGGGGGAGGCGGGCTCACCTGTGGACTCGTCCGCTGCGAGCAGACCCTTGCCGGGAGCTGCGAGAGCCCTCGCCGTCGCGGCGAGCTCCTGGGCGACGTCCTGCGGAAGTTCTGCCTGAAAACGCGCAAAAAGCCGAAATTTGCGCAAATTAATGTCGGAAATTCAAAATGCTGCATTTTAATTCCCCTTGGGAGCGAAAAAGCGGAAAAAAAGACCCCAAATGACGCAACTCCGCAGCCAACACACACACCGAACCGCCGCCGCCGCAGCCACCGCAGCAAGACAAAGCAACCCCACCCATCCAACAATTAACCTTCCAAAATAAAACACAAAATTCAATTTGCTGCTGCTGCAGATATTCCGCAAAGACGGTCGCGCTGCGCTGGAGCCGCAGACACAGCAGCGCCCGCTGCTGCTGCTGCTGCTGCTGCACACGAGCAGCAGCAGCAGCGAGCACCCGCAGCCCGCTCCCGTGCTCCTCTCACCATTTTAAACGACCAAGAAGTGCAAAACAAACGACGGAGTTCTTCAATTCGAATCAAAATCCCAAAAGAAACAAAAAACCAAAAGTGGCGCTTCCCGCAACCCGCCGAGAGCCAGCCTGTGGGGGGAGGCGCCCGCCGACGCGGCGGGGTGTATGTACACTGCAAAGGCTGCTGCTGCTGCTGCACCGCCTTCGCCCGCTTAGCCCGGCCTTTCTCTTTCCGCGAGTTTTTAATAAATTAATAATTACATTTCTCTTAACTGCTGCCAATTTAATGGCCCACTTCGCTTTCAAACCCCGCTGCAGCTAACTGGCCTGCTGCTGCAGCAGCGCGTTGCTGCTGCGCTGCAGCAGCAACGCCTCGCTTCCGGTGTCTCCCCAGCTCTCCTTTTGCTGCGCTGCTGCCGCCAGCGCAGCAGCAGCAGCAGCAGCAGCGCTTCCGCCACACGCAGCCGCGCAGGGACACATCCCCTGCTGCTGCAGCTCTTTGCTGCTGCAGCAGCAGAAAGACGCAGCAAATCCTTCCCCGATCCCCTGGCTCTCTGCCTTTCTCGCCACTCCCAGCCCCCACCAGCCAAAAACCCCCGCAGCTCTTCGGCCAGAAGCAAAGCCTTGGCCTTTCCTGCTGCTGCTGCTGCTGCTGCTGCTGCTGCTGCGAGTTGCCGTCTCAGTCTCTTTCCGCCTCGGGGACTCTGTGTCCCTTCTGCGGCCTCGGCCAGCAGCAGCAGCAGCAGCAGCAGCAGCTCGAGCCGCTAGTTGCTTCTAAGTTGCTTCGGCCTTTTCTCTAGAAGAAGCAGAAAAGCAAATTCAACAATTCGACAAAAGAGGCCTCAGGGGCCAGAGGGCCTTGTCGCGCCCGCGCTGCTGCTTTGGCCCCTTTCAGTTGCTGCTGCTGCTGCTGCTGCTGCTGCTGCTGCACTAGGCGGTTCGCTGGGCTGCTGGCGTCTTAGGCGAAAAACGGCACTGAGACCTCAAAAGCTCAGCCTCTAGCATTGCCTGCTGTCGCAGTGGCCTTTGCCTGTTTTAAAAGCAGCAGCAAAGGGGGGGGCCCTGGCCTTTAAAAAGATATTTAAATGTTTGCAGATTTGGTGGAGAGTTGTTGCTGCAGTCCGACACACTCTAGGAGGTGTACGTACACTCGAAGGCTGCTGCGCTGCTGCTGCTCCGCGCCCTGCTGCAGCTGGCTGCGGGGAAGGCGCCCCTAAAGGAGTTCCTGAAGCAAAAAGTTTTTTAAAAATAGTTTTAAAGAATAAATGGGCGCTTTAGAAGGGAAATGCTGCGGCGCAGATGGCCGAATCGCAGCAGCAGCGCAGCCTCGCTCTCGGCGCCAGCAGATCCAACCGAGCCTGCGCGAGAAAGAGCCATAAATGATCGAATCTTTCAAAAAGAAACTTCAAATAAGTTTTTAGTGCATTATTATTGAGAGTTTCGGGCTTTATGCCGACTTAAACTGCAAATCGCAGCCGTTTCAAATTGGTTTCCGTGGATTCTGAACGGCGCCGTGCAGAGCCGCCGCTCGATTGCGGTAATCTCCGCTTTTTCTCGCCTAATCTGGGCAAATTTCGACTCCAAATAAAACTAAATTAAATTTAAAACAAATCTGAAGAGGTCAAACTCGGGTAAAGGAAAGTTTCCCACACAATAACTGTTTCTTGCAAATTCTTCTTTGGGTGTACACGCAGGTTGGCGGCAGCGGATCAGCCTGCACGCCGTGTTGTTTGTTACTTCTTTTTTATATATTGACCATCAGCAGCTGCAGATAATGCATTTTGCTGCAGCTCAAATTCAAAGTCGCGGTCTGCACTGCCAGACAGACGCTGTCTGGCCCAGCGGGCGGATAGTTCAGGTTTTTCTGCCGGTTTGCGAAACTTGAACAAGGCTGAATCTGGGGAGAACAGCGCATGCAGAGCCCCATTTGCCGGTTCATTTCTGTTTATTTCTCTTTTTTTCTCCGCAATTTCCTCCTTTCTTTCCGCTTCCCTGCAAAACCCCGTGCACGAGCGCCGTCGCTGCTGCTGCAGCAAATTCAAGTGGCGCGTTTCCGCGGGACCCTCGCCGCCTCGAGGCCCAAAATTCGGTGCTTGAGTTTAAAAAGCATTTTTGAATTTCTGAATATGCTTTTGAAGGGAAAATCCTGAGGCCGAGTCGCCGGCAATTCAGCTTCCGCGGCCCGCAGCTCGCAATGGACCAGCAGCAAAGACACAGCCGCTGCTGCAACACCGGCTGCCCCTGCTGCTCTCCCCACAGGCCTCAAGAAAATGCTGCGCGTGGGCTTTGCTGCAGCTCGCAGGGGGCAGGCCGTTTGTGGCGCGGGCCAGCGGCCGCTGCGCAGCTGCAGCTGCAGCGCAGCACAAGCAGCAGCAGCAGCACGTTCTGCTGCAGCTCCAGTCTGCTCTGCTGCAGCGCCACTTTGTCAAGCGCCTCCAGCATCCTTCTCGGGAGGCAGCAGCAGCAGCAGCACTGTGTCGTGCAGCATTTGGCCCGCTGCAGCAAGCAACCCCAAATGCACAGCTAAGCGCCTTGCTTGCAGCAGCAGCAGCAGCAGCAGCAGCGGCAACAGCAGCAGCAGCAGCAGCAGAGGCAGGCGCAGCCACAGGAGCAGCCGACGGCGCGGCAGCTCTGCCCCTGAGGGCTGCACGATCTTCACCCGCAGCAGCCCGCCAGACGGGCTAGAGCAGCAGCATCTGCTGGCGCTGCAGCAGCAGCAGCAACTGCCGGTGCTGCAGCAGCAAGACCCCCGTGTGTCTCCCGTGCTGCTGCCTTCCCTCCGGCGCCTCTGCCGGCAGCTGCGTTTCCTCTCTGTGCATCCGCAGCTGCTGGCTGCTCTCAGGCCTCCTGCTGCTGCTGCTGCTGCTGCTGCTGCTGCTGCTGCTGGGCTTTCGCCGGAGAGCTCGAGGGCCCGCAGAGCAGCAGCGCGCAGCGCTGCAGCAGCAGACAGCCAGCAGCTGCAGCAGCAGGCCGCGCTGCTGCTGCGCGTCGTCTGGGGGGAAGCCACGCACTTCTCTCCAGCTATAGTGCGAGCTGCGCTGCAGTCAGAGCTAATGGGGGAAGCAGCAGCAGCACGAGCAGCAGCACAAGCAGCAGCTGCATCCGGGCGACCACTGGCAGCAGCAGCAGCAGCAGCTGCTGCTGCTGCTGCTGTCCTGCAGCTCCCGCAGCTGCTCACGCGAGTCGCCACTAGATATGTCAGGAGGCAGATACAGCAGCAGCTGCTAGCGCAGCAAGCAGCAGCAGCAGCACGGGGGCCTTCAACAGCAGCAGCAGGAGCAAAAGCAGCACGAGCAGCAGCAGATCCTGCAGCAGCGGCACCAGTGCTGTCAGACAGGCCCGCAGCAGCAGCAGCAGCACGAGCTGCAGTCGCAGCAGCGCTGGAAGCTGCAGCACCACCACCACCAAAGGCAGCAGGAGCTGCAGCGGCAGCAGCGGGGGGAGCAGCAGCAGCAGCAGCAGCAGCAGCAGCAGCAGACTGCCTCCCTGACGCTCTCTTTGCTGCTTGCCGCTGGCTAAGTGCTGCGAAGCAGCAGGCGCTGCTGCTTGCTGCTGAAGACACCGGGCGGGCGCTGCTGGGGACTCTGCGGACTTTGGGAGATCTCGAGGTGGCCCTAGCAAGAGGCCTGCAGTCAGCAGCAGCAGCAGCAGCAGCAGCAGCAGCAGGAGCTGCTGCTGTTGCTACGGCGGGGGAAGCCGCAGCTGCAGAGCTTGCTGCAGCAGGAACTACTCACGCTGCTGCTGCTGCTGCTGCTGGCGCTGCAGGCAACAGCACCCAGCAGGTTCTGCAGCAGGGAAAGCAGCTGCTGCGCGCGCTGCAGGCGGAGAAGCTGCTGCTGCTGCAGCAGCAGCAAACGCACCTGTCTCGCTTTATTCAGGCCCGAGGAGGCTTCGAGGAACCTGAAAGCATGCAACATAAAACCTCCAGAGGGGGCCCCCAAGGGGGCCCCCAAGGGGGCCCCCAAGGGGGCCCCCAAGGGGGCCCCCAAGGGGGGCCCCAAGGGGGGCCCCCTAGCCCCAGACTGCCGTCGCGCGTAGAGCTGCACCGTGCTGCAGACAAGCTGCTGCAGGGGAGCTGGAAGATACGGCTGCAGCGGCAGCAGCAACTGCAGCAGAAGCAGCAGCAGCAGCAGCAGCAGCAGCAGCGGCAGCAAGAGCACTGGCACCAGCAGCAGCAGCAGCAGCAGCAACGAAAGTGGCTCACGCGGGCTTTCAAGCCAATTCCTGTGGAACGACTATTAGGCGCGGACCTCGCGATCTCGAAAGAAAACAGCAGCAGCAGCAGCAGCAGCAGCAGCAGCAGCAGCAGCAGCAGCAGCAGCCTTCGTCCCGGGGTGCTGCTGGTGGCCCACCCGCTTCTGTCGGATGCTTTTGCTAGAGGGACAGTTGTGCTGCTGACAGCTGTGAAGCGCAGCACTGTGGAAGGAGTCATCCTGAACCGCAGCTGCAGCAGCAGCACGAGCAGCAGCAGCAGCACGAGCAGCAGCAGCAGCAGCGACTCCAAAGCGCTGCACCGATCCGTTGCAGGGCTGCCCTCTCCCGTAGACCTTCTCGCAAGCTGGCAGCAGCAGCAGCAGCAGCGGCGACAACAGCAGCAGCAGCAGCAGAAACAGCAGCAGCAACAACAGCAAGAAGATGATGATCTTCAGCAGCAGCAGCATGCGTTTGGTAGAAGCAGCAGCAAGCCCGTAATAGGCCGGTGGCACAGTTTGCTGCAGGATGACCCAATGCTGCTGCTGCTGCTGCGCGAGGCTCAGGCAGCAGCAGCAGCGCAAGTACCTCTAAACAGGAAGAGGCAGCAACTGCAGCAGCAGCAGCAGCTGTTGCTGCAGCAGGCCCTTGTAATTGCCTTGGCTCAACGAGCTGTACAGATGCTTCCAAAGAGTGGGCGTCCCAGCAGCAGCAGCAGCAGCAGCAGCTTCCTTATCAGCAGCAGCAGCAGCAGCAATCCTCAAGGGGACAACGACAGCAGAGGACACAGCAGCAGCAGCACCGACATCCGCACGAGCAACAGCAGCAGCAACACCGGCATCAGCAGCAGCAACAGCAGCAGCAACACCAGCGTCAACAGCAGCAACAGCAGCAGCAACACCAGCGTCAACAGCAGCAACAGCAGCAGCAGCAGCAGCAGCTTGCTGCTGCGCGTTGCTGCTGCCGAGGCAGCTGACGCTGAGCCTCTGCATGCAATACTATCCTCCATTGCTGTTGAAAGCAGCACACAGCGCGACTGGGAGTCAACCAGGTTGCTGCAGCAGCAGCAGCAGCGGCGGCAGCAACAGCAGCAGAAGCTTATTCTGTGGCTAGAGAATGGCCTCAAGAGTGGCGCTGCAGACAGCTCGGGTGCAGGGGGCGAGCAGCAGCAGCAGAGCAGCAAGGCGTTGCTGCAGCAGCTGCTGAAGCTGCTGCAGCAGCAGCAGCAGCCCGCCAGCAGCAGCAGCAGCAGCAGCAGCAACAGCAGCAGCAGAGTTGCAATGCGCAATGTGCGTCTCGGAGGCCCTTGTGAGGGCTTTTTAAAAGTGACAGCAGAAGAGACAGGAGTGCATGCATCTGTGGGGTGTACGTACACCTCGGAAGACAAGCCCGCCAGCAGCGCGCCCGCTGCAGCAGCAGCAGCAGCAGCTGCTGCTGCTGCTGCTGCTGAGGAAGCCCCGCCTGCTGCTCTTTACCTGGGAAAAATGCTCTGGGGAAAAAGCCAAGTGAGCCGGGAGCTGCGGGAGGGTTTGTGGGTGGCTTTGGAGTGTACAGACACCCGAGCTCTGGCGCTGCTGCTGTTTGGGGGCTGCAGCAGCTGCACGCACTCAGCAGCAGCAGCAGCAGCAGCAGCAGCAGCAGCGGGGGGAGCAGCAGGCCCGTGCCCGTGCTGCAACAGCCGCGAGGTGTACAGACAGCTCGTTGCTGCTGCAGACGGCGAGGGGCCCCCTTTCTTCAGCAAAGCTTTTCGGGTGTCTGCAGCAGCAGCAGCAGCAATACAAGCAGCAGCAGACACTGCCTGGGGAGCAGCAGCAGCACAGGGGCCCCAGGGGCCCCCCGCTGCCCTTTGACAGCCAGCAGCAGGGGCCCCCTTTGGTAAAAAAGTCAAAAAGCAATTCAGCAAATTCTGACAAAGAGACTATTCAAAAGGAGACACCAATGCCCCCAAGCAGCAGCACATGCCTGCTGCGCCGGGCCTCGCTGCAGCTGCTGCTGCAGCTAGTGCTGCAGCAGCTGCTGCTGCAGCTGCTGCTGCAGCTGCAGCAGCAGCAGCGACACGGAAGTGCTCGTGCTACCAATATATCCAAAGATAGCTTTCTCTCTGCGGATGTGCACTAATAATAAATGCATTTATTCGCTAAAAATAAATGCTCAAAGTGCCAGCTAGAGAGGCAGCTAGATGGCTAGCTGGGCAGCTAGCTAGGCAGCTAGCTAGGCAGCTAGCCTGGCAGCTAGCCTGGCAGCTAGCTAGGCAGCTAGCTAGGCAGCTAGCTAGGCAGCTAGCCAGGCAGCTAGCTAGGCAGCTAGCTAGGTAGCTAGCTAGGCAGCGAGCCGGGTACCTAGTTAAGTAGCTAGCCAGACAACTAGCTAGCTAGGTTGCCAGCCAAGTAGCTAGCTAGCTAGCTAGCTAGCCAGCCAAGTAGCTACCTAGCTAGCTAGCTTGCCAGCAAAATAGCTAGCTAGCTAGCTACCTAGACAGATACTTAGATTGCTGCTGAGTGGGCAGCAGGCTGCAGCAACATTAAAGCCCCAAAGAACTCTTAACTGCTAAACGCATGCAGCTTCTTAATCTCTGAAGAAGTGCAATCTAAATAAACTGCATGCAGAGCTGCTGCGGGGCCTGGAGCAGCAGCCTCTCCCGTGCTGCTGCTGCTTCCTCCCCTCTTGCTGCAGCACTCGGCCCCACACCGGTCCCCTAGCTGCTGCGCCTGCTGCTGCAGCCTGCTGAATAGCCCGCTACAGCTACCGCTAGCTAGCTAGCTAGCTAGCTAGCTACCTAGCTACCTAGCTACAGTGTCAACCAGCTAACTAGTTAGCCAGCCTGCTCGCCAGCTAGCTAAGCCGCCAGACTGATACAACGTTGATGCCTGGTGAGCTAAGCAGAAGCTAGACAGCTAGCTAGCTAACTAGCTAGCCAGCTAGCTAGCTAGCTAGCCAGCCAACTAATTAGCCTTGCGCCCCAGCATAGCTGCCCAGATATTCAAAAGCACTGCGTTTGCGAATTCACCAAAGGAAGCGGGGTGTACATACACCCCGCGGCTGCGCGAGCCCTTTCCTCTGCAGCAAAAAGCTTCATTTTCGTTTTTTATTTTTCAATAAAAGGCGAAAAACTTCATTTCCGCTTTTAATTATTCAATAAAAAGGCGAAAAGCTCGAACTCTCACCAGTACATACACCCGAACACGAAACGCCACTCGCTCCACCGAAGCTCGGGTGTACGTACACCCCAGCGGCACTGGCAGAACACGCCGGGTGTACATACACCCCAGCGGCACTGGGGAAGGCAACACGCCTCCTGAACGAATTCACTTCATTAATCTTGACAATTACTTTCAATTAAATTACTCAAAACAATTTAAATCATTCAAAACAATCAAAACGAAATACTCCACCCCCATTGTGCAGACTGCGCGCTGCTGCAGCAGCAGCAGCAGCAGCAGCAGCAGCAGCAGGACGTAATGGTGGGGTTGTTGTGATTTGCTTCTTCAAGCCTTGCCCCCTGCTTGTGCAGTTCTGGGGCTTTCCTTTGCGAGGGGAACTTTGGCTTTTTCAACTTCACTTTTTAAATCTTTTATTTTTTCTTTTTGCTGCTTCTGCTGCTCCCCCTGCCCCTGCTTCGCAATCTTCTGCTGCAGCTTCTCCGCCAGTTCTTCGGAGGAAGCAGCAGCAGCAGCAGCAGCAGCTGCTGCTGCTGCTGCTGCGTCACCGTCTCCCGCCCCCTTCGCCGCAGGGGCCTCTCCCCCTGCCTCGCGGGGGCCCCCGGGGGGCCCCTGGGGCTTCTCAAGACCCTTTAGGGGCCCCTCCTGGGGGCCCCCCAGGCCGCCCTTGAGGGGCCCCTCTTGGGGGCCCCCCCGGGGGCCCTTCTGGGGCCCCTGGGTACCCTCCTGGACGCCCTTGCGGGGCCCCTGGATGCCGGCCTTGAGCTGCTGCTGCTCCTGCTGCTGCTGCTGCTGCTGCTGCTGCTGCTGCTCTGCAGCAAGACTGATGGCCCTCCTCACACTCTCTTCGCCTCTAAACCCTACCCAAGCATAACCACTGTTGTTTTCAGCTCTCATATAAACATAAATCTGCACGGGCCCGTAAATTGCCCGCAGCCGGTGCTCCAGGTCCGCCTGCGCAGCAGCCCCACAAACCCTAAACCCTAAACCCTAAACCCTAAACCCTCGCCTCCTCCCCGACCCGCTCCCCACGCTCCCGCCACTGCACACTTCTGTCCCCCTCCAGGGGTTTAGGGTTTAGGGTTTAGCGCTTGGTCGGGGGCGTCTTGAGCACTGGATGGCGAGGAAACGGCGACCGCCCCCGCCGCCCCCACTGCCCCCTAGGGTTTAGGGTTTAGGGTTTAGGGTTTGCTGACTTCTGTCAAGCAGGTCGGAATGCCCGCCAAGTACACGCGAGTCTCCGGGCGAACAAACTGCGGCTCTTCGCCGTAGAGAAGACGCCAAGTGGGGGCTTTGTCGGCGACGGCCATTTTCGGGCAAAAAGTCTGAGACACAGCAGCAGCAGCAGCAGCAGCAGCAGCAGCAACAGCAGCAGCAGCAGCAGCAGCAGCAGCAGGTGAAATGGGAAGGTTTAAGAGAAGCCCGGATGAGGAGAAGTAAAGTTGTGCAGGGAGATGAAGTACTAACTAGCTGGCCTGCGGCGCCTGTGGGCTGCGAGCGGCACCCCTAGACAGCGAACTGCAGCGGCCCGATCCGCATGGAATGCAGCAAACTGGCGGCAAAAAGACGAAATAAATGAAAAGAGAAACTCTTTTCCTTTTCAAAAATGCAAAAAAGTCCAAAGTGTGCCGCCAAATTGCTCGCTTTCCACCTGCTGCTGCACCCGCTGGGCATTCCGAAACGCACCTCTGGAATCTTGAACGGGCAGGAAGCAGCAGCAAACGGAGACCACAAACGGCTCGTTTTCGCAAAAAACAAATTAATAAAACAAATTAATAAAACAAATTCGGAAAAAAAGAGTGCTGGGAGCCAGAGGGGAAGCAGCAGCAGCTCGAGACCCCGCTGCGCGCTGCTGCTGCTTCTGCACACAGTGCGAGAGCTCTGCTGCTCTTGTCTTCTCCCAAGAAGAAACTCAATTCAAATGTCTAACTGACTTACTGAATTTGAAAAGCTACAAAATATCAATGCACTGAACGAGCAAAAAGCGAAGAAAACTAACAGAGCCACTGGTTTCCCCCGTTGAATCGAGACCTGGGCCAGGCTGACCAGCAGCAGCAGCAGCAGCAGCAGCAGCAGCAGGCTGATGCTGTTCTGCTACTCATTCGAGAGTCTGTTTGTTGCAGCTGACGCAAATGAATTATTTATTTGAATTTATTTCCCGAAAGAAAGAGGAAATAGCCTTATCAGGGAACATATCGGACGTGGCGGTGTCTCAGCCCCGCAGAACGTCGGACGCGCGGATGTCAGTTTGCCTGCTTCCCCTCAACTCCTTCTTCGCTTTTTTCTTTTGCTTTCTCTTTTAAATTCAAAATAATAATTAATTAATGCAAAAAAACGAAACTTGAAGGTCCAAAAAGCTCCAAAGAGGAGCTCCGGTGCACACAGCCGCCCGCCTGCGACCACTTTGCTTCTGCCAAGATTTCCAGCATAATGAAACACTAAAATGAGGAAAATGATGCATTAAAAAAGCAATAATGAAATAACATAAAACAAATTTATTATAATTTGCATGTTTAGTATTTTGTTGCGGCCGAGACAGCGCCAAGTGCCTTAAGACCATTTCTTTAGAGAAGCAAATTCCCATTTGCTGTTAACTTGCGTTGGCTGGATCAAGAGGCTGCTGCTGCTGCAGCAGCAGCTGCAGCAGCAGCAGCAGCAGCACGAGGCGCAGCAGCAAGAACGTAACTGCTGCCTCTGCTGCAGAAGCGGCGCAGAAACCCACAAGCAGGTTGCTGCTGCTCTCGCTGCCGCTGCTGTTGCTGCTGTTGCTGCTTTTGCTGCTGCTTTTGTTTCTGCTGCTGCCTTCGCTTTCTTTGCTCCTTCTACTGCTGCAGCCTCCACTACTACTACCACTACCACAGCCACTACTACTACTGCTGCTGCTGCTGCTGCAGCAGCAGCAGCTGCTGCTGCTGGACGAGCCTTCGTACTAATTGCTGCGGGTTTGGCCCCCCCAGAGTTTCAGCAAACGCGGGAGAAATGAACACAAAGTCCCGGGGAGGGAAGGCTGCGGTCCGCGCCCTCCTGAGGGCAGGCCGGCCTCCCTCCGAGGGTTTAGGGTTTAGGGTTTAGGGTTTAGGGTTCCGCGCCCAAGCAGGCCTCCAGTTCCTGCTGCGACAAAGCCAACATCTCGCAGCTGCGCACCCGGCTGGGGGCCCTGAGGCCCCCTGCTGCTGCATGCCATTCATAGAGAGCAAAGACCATGGGGGACCTTCTCACAGCAGCCCCGAGAGCAGCAGCAAGGGCCCCATCCACCCTCCCGGGGGCCCCGGGGGCCCCCCCGGGGGCCCCCCGGGGGGCCCCCCTGGGGGCCCCCCGGGGGGGCCCCCCGCGCCGCGAGAGCGCCGGACGCCACAGCCACTTCCGGGGCCCCAAGAAGGGCCCAAAGGTTTCCTGCAGGCTGAACTCAAACGAGAAGTTCGGCCGGGGCTCTCGGGGGCCCCCGTGGGGGCCCCCCGGGGGGCCCCGGGAGGCCCGCCCCACGAAGCCGTACAGGGGCAGGTTGTACTGCACATAGTCCTGCAGCAGCAGGGGGCCCCCCTGGGGGCCCCTCTCTTCTGCTGCAGCAGCTCTGTAGACTAGAGCAGCAACTGCGGGGTTGTTGCCGTGAATAGGGGACAGCGCGGGGGCCCCCAGAATGGCTGTGGAGGGCGCGGGGGCCCCCAGAGGGTCTGAGGGCTGCTGGGGGGCCCCCAGAGGGTCTGTGGGGCCCCCGGGGGCCCCCCCACTGGGGGGGGGGGCCCCCGAGGCCCCAGGGGGTACCAGGGCCTTCACGCGGCCAAAATGGATGTGCCCGAAAGCCTGCGTTATTATGACATCCGCGAACTCCGAGACCAGCGCCCGGTAGCTGCAGCAGCAGCAGCAGCAGCAGCAGCAGCAGCAGCAATGCAGCAGCAGCAGCAATGCAGCAGCAGCAGCAATGCAGCAGCAGCAGCAAGCAGAGCAGCAGCGAAAGTCAAAGGCATGTGCTTCGCAGCACACAGGCGGACAGGCCCCAGTCGCTTGCAGGCAACAGAAACCCTTCAGTTCAGACCCTAAACCCTAAACCCTAAACCCTAAACACTGAGAGGGGCCCCTCAGCCATGAAACGCATTATCTGATTCTCCAGAGACCCAAGAACAACCACTGCAGCTGGGGCCCCCTAACGCTGCCAAAGGGGACTCTGGGGCCCCCCGAAGGCCCCCGAAAGGCGCCTGGGGGGCCCCCTGGGGGGCCCCCGGGGGGGCCCCCGGGGGGGCCCCTGGGGGGCCCCTCGGGGCCCCCTGGGGGCCCCCTGGGGGCCCCCGGGGGGCCCCTTAGGGCAACACTTACAGTTCGGTGTATTTTGAAACCCAGAGTCGCATTTGCGAAAAGCCGAGGCCCAAATGAGAGTCAAAGCCAGGGGGGACATGTCCAGCAATCACCACCTGCAGCAGCACCCCAAACCCTAAACCCTAAACCCTAAACCCTAAACCCTAAACCCTAAACCCTAAACCCTAAACCCTAATTGCAGGTCACCCAACTGGCAGCAAACGAAACACTGCAGTAGAGACTGACACCTCAAGACCCCTAGGTCCCTGGGGGCCCCGGGGGGCCCCTGGAGGCTCTGGGGCCCCCCGGGGCCCCCCGGGGGCCCTCGGGGCCCGATGGGGGCCCCAATTGGGGGTCCCTAGGGGGCCCCCCGGGGCTCCCATTGGGGCCCCCAGGGGCCCCCATTGGGGCCTCCATTAGGGCCCCCATTGGGACTCCCATTTGGGCCCCCATTGGGGCCCCCAGGGGCCCCATTGGGGCCCTCAGGGGCCCCACTGGGGCCCCCAGGGGCCCCCATTAGGGTACTAGACAAACCTGCTGCCCCTTCGCTCTGGCCTCCTGCAGCTGGCGGCGCATCCACGCGAACTGGCCCGCTGTGCGCACACTCAAGCGCCAAAACCCCAAACCCTAAACCCTAAACCCTAAACCCTAAACCCTAAACCCTAAACCCTAAGCCCCCGGCGCTAACCTGGGTCTTTCTCGTCCTCTTCTGCTGCGTCTTGGGCGTCTTCTGCTGCTGCCTCCGCTGAAGGGGCTGCTTCGGTCTCCTGCTGCAGCAGGGAGTCTGCTTCGGTCTCTGTTTGGGAACTTGCTGCTGCTGCTGCTGCTGCTGCTGCTGTGTCTGTGTCTGTTGTCTCTTTTGCTTCTTTCGTTTCTGTCTCCTCGAGGGCCTCCAGCAGCTCATCTTCCGGTGTCTCTTTTGCTGCAGCTGCTGCGGCCGCTGTGGGGCCCCGCTGCTTCCTGCGCCTGCACCGCGAGTGCCTCCTGCAGCTGCTGCTGCTGCTGCTGCTGCTGCTGCTGCTGCTGCTGAAGCGTCTTCTGCTGCTAATCAGCTCCCGAGCTGCTACAGAATACAAAACGGTGTTTAAACACAAAACCCTAACTCCTGGCTGTTCGCGCAAAGTCGCCGAATAGTAAAGGCCCCGCAAAAACGACTGAGACCACACACGCAACCTGCTGCTGCTGCTGCTGCTGCTGCTGCTGCAGCAGCTAGTCCTGCTGCTGCTGCTGCTGCTGAGTGGTGTTCGGCACGCTGGGCTATAGATGTAGCGCCGCACGCGTGGAGGCGCTCAGGCAGCGCGTGCAGGCAGATTCAGGCAGCAGCAACAGCAGCAGCGGCAGCAGCAACAGCAGCAGCAGCAGCAGAGGCAGCAGCAACAGCAGCAGCAGCAGCAGAGGCAGCAGCAGCAGCAGCACCGCTAACCAGCAGGAACAGCAACAAGCGACGCAGCCAGCGGCAGCACGGGCACCCGCAGGAGCAGCAAAAGCAACTTCACCAGCAGCAAGTGCAGCAGCAGCAGCAGCAAAAACGGCAGCAGCAGCAGCAGCAGCAGCAGCAGCAGCAGCAAACCTCCTTGGTGGCTGCGTCGGAAGGCAGGGCCTTTTTCCAAAGATCGAAAAGAAACTGAGACCAGCCAGGGCGAGAAGAGGGGTCTAAATAGTCTTCAGGCATGTCGTTGTTGCCGGCCACCATCAGCAGCAGCAGCAAAGGCAGCAGCAGCAGCAGGTTCAGTCAACGAGGCGGCAGCAGCAAAAACCGACAGGAGCTTCCTGCCAATATGCCCAAGACAAGCCCCACTGAAGCGAATGTTAAGGCGCTAGGGTTTAGGGTTTAGGGTTTAGGGTTTAGGGTTTAGGGCTGCAGCAAACCTGTTTTCAATCTGAAAGTCTGGGTAGTGCGCAGCATAGTCCCCAGTTAGCAGCAAAGCAGCAACTCGAGGCAAAGGGTACCCCACATCTTCAGCAGCAGCTGCTGCTGCAGCACCTTCTGCAGCAGCAACAGCAGCAGCAGCAGCAGCTACACAGTAGGTCGCCACCGGCAGCAGCAGCTGCAGCTACACAAGTGATAAACCAACCAGCAGCAGCAGCAGCAGCAGCAGCACATGGATGGACAGAAGCAACCGCAGCAGCAACAGCAGCAGCAGCAGCAGCAGCAGCAGCAGCAGCAGCAAAGGCAGCACCTGGGTAGGCAAGGGAAGCAGCAAACTGCAGGGCCTTTTTCACAAGGGCCGGAGGAGAGTCGCAGCCAGCTCGGCCTAGCTCTGGGTCTGTTTCTGCTGCTGGCATTGCTGCTGCTGCTGCTGCTGCTGCTGCTGCTGCTGCTGCTGCTGTCATTCGACTTCTCCACAAAGCGGGCCGCGGAATCCACCGCCTCCGCTGCTGCAGCAGCTGCCGCTGCTGCTGCTGCTGCTGCTGCTGCTGCTGCTGCTGCTCCGAGTCCTCTGAATGGAACAGATTCATCAGCCGGCGCCCAGCAAATGCCACAGGCCCGGCGGAAGAGCTGCTAGAGTCTTCAGGGGGGCCCCTAGGGCCTTCAGGGGGGCCCCTAGGGCCTTCAGGGGGGCCCCTAGGGCCTTCAGGGGGGCCCCCAGGGCCTTCAGGGGGGCCCCTCGGGCCTGGGGGGGGGCCCCTAGGGTCTGGATGGGGGCCCTCATGGCCTGGAGGGGGCCCTCTGGGGCCATGCGGGGGGGGCCCATGGTGATGTGGGGGCCCCCCAGGGTGGTGTGGGGGCCCCCCAGGGCGGTGTGGGGGCCCCCCAGGGTGGTGTGGGGGCCCCCCAGGGTGGTGTGGGGGCCCCTCGGGGTGATGCGGGGGCCCCTTGGGGTGATGTGGGGGGCCCCTAGGGTCACGAGGGGGCCCCTTGGGGCCATGGTGGGGGCCCCCAGGGCCACGTGGGGGGCCCCTAGGGGGGTGCGGGGGTACCAAAGGGTCATGGGGGGGGCCCCTGGGGCCACGGGGGGGGCCCCTGGGGCCGTGAGAGGGGCCCCAATGGTGGTGAGGGGGCCCCATAGGGCCGTGAGGGGGGCCCCTGCGGGGGAAGGGGGGCCCCCAAGGGCGGCCGGGGGGGCCCCTGGGGTCCCTGGGGCCCCTGGGGCCCCTGGGGCCCCTGGGGGGCCCCCAGGGGCCCCGGTAAATGGGGAGATGGTGGGGCCGCCAGGGGAGGCCCGGGGGGGGCCCCCAATGGCGGTGTGGGGGGCCCCCGAAGAAGGGGGGGCCCCTAAACCAAAGGGGGGCCCCCTTGTGGAAGGGGGGCCCCCCTGCCATCTTGTGGCGGCGGCAAGAATGGGAGACAGGAGCAGCAGGGTCATAGAGAGGGTCTTCGTGAATATCTGTCATCCACAGCAACGAGAAGACCGCGTGGGGCTGCTGCTGCTGCTGCTGCTGCTGCAGCAGCTGCTGCTGCTGCTGCTGCTGCTCGTCGACGGCGGTGTGCACGCCTGGGCCGGGCTGCTCGGGAGGCAGCGCCGCGACGGGGAGTCCTGCTGCTGCTGCCTCTGCAGCTGCAGCAGCTGCTGCTGCTGCATCTGCTGCTGCTGCTGCTGCTGCTGGTAGCGGCTGCGCCTCCGCCGCTGCTGCAGCGCCTGCAGCTAGGGAGAGGCACAGCAGCAGCAGAGCTGCAGCTCCCGAGCGCCTTCCCCCTGGCTCGTGGACCCACATCTTCTGCTGCTGCTGTTGCTGCTGCTGCTGCTGCTGCTGTTTGGGCTGCTGCAGCGTGCTGCCTTCGCGGGTGCCTTCCAGCTAGCTGCTGCCGCCGCCGCTGCCGCTGCTGCTGCTGCTGCTGCTGCTGCTGCTAGGAGAATCCTGGATGAATTGAAACACTTTCAAATTGAAGTTTGTTTAAATAAATGAGTTCAAATTGAAAAAGAAAAAAGGAAAACCCACGCCTGGCACAGCGCAGCGGGACAGCTGCTGCTGCATCGACTGCCGGTGGTCTTGCTGCTGCAGGCTGGAGAGAAATTAGGAAAGAAATAAAGTTTAAAAAAACAATGAAGAAAAAACAAACAAAACAAGTGCCAAATGATGCAGCAGCAGCAGCAGCAAGAAGAGCAGCAGCAGCAGCAGCAGCAGCAGCTGCTGCTGCTGCGCGACCCCGCTCACACGCCTCCTCCTCCTCCTCCCGAGGCCTCTCGGGGCCCCGCAAGCCCTATTTCGAAAACTTCAGCAGCGTGCTGCTGTCTTTGCTGCTGCTGCTGCTGCTGCTGCTGCTGCTGCTGCTGCAGCTCTGTCGTAACGTTTGCTGCTGCCTTTTCCCCTCTCACACAACTCTTCGTGGGGGCCCCGGGGCCCCCGCAGCTAGCCAGCGAGACCCAGCTGCCTGGGGGCCCCCCTGCATGCAAAGAAGGCCTTTGTTGGGGTCTGAGGGGCCCCCTGCTGCACGCAGCAGAGTTCACACACCTGAACTGCAGCAGCAGCAGCAGCTGCTGCTGCTGCTGCTGCCGCAGCAGAGACTTCCGAAATGCGCGCAGCGACAGCAGCCGTAAGAGCTGCTGCTCGCCACTTTGAGGGCCCCGCGCTGCTGCTGCGGCCCCGCAGCAGCAGCAGCAGCAGCAGCAGCAGCGCGCCGCGGTGCTGCTGCTGCTGCTGCAGCCGCTCACTGCGCTCCCATTTGCCCCTACACACAGCCGCTGCAGCCTCCAGCAGCAGCAGCGGCAGCATCAGCAGCAAAAGTAGTGCTTTGTGGGGCGCTCTGTACCCTCCGCTAGCCGGGGGCCCCCAGGGGGGCCCCCACCAGCTGCTGCAGCGTTGGGGGCCCCCTGGGGTCTCCGCAGGCACGTGGCTGCTGACGCCGCTGCCTTCTCGCTTCCATGCAGCAGCACACTCCAGGAAGCAGCAGCAGCAGCAGCAGCAGCAGCAGCAGCAGCAGCAGCTGCAGCAGCAGCAGCACCAGCGGCGGCTGGAACAGCAGCAGACAGCAGCAGCAGAGGAAGTCTTCTTCCCTCTGCCTGACTGCATTTCCTACCCACCTGACTTTGTAGGGCCGCCTGCCGCCGCCCCCAGCAGCAGCAGCAGCAGCAGCAGCAGCAGCAGCAGCAGCAGCAGCAGCAGCTCTGCTGCAGCAGAGTTCCTCCCGCTGTGGGCCCGCAGGCTGCTGGCCCCTCAGCCGCAAATTTTGTTTTTGAGAATTTTGGCAGCAGCTCCTTTGGGGGTGATGGCCGTGGGAGTTCATTTGCTGCCGCGTAAGCACTGCCAAACCCTAAACCCTAAACCCTAAACCCTAAACCCTAAACCCTAAACCCTGCGGCTGCGGGCCTGGGGGAGCCGCTGCTGGTTCTTGTGCCGCGTAGCTGGAGGTTAAAAGGTTTAAATTTCGAAAAAGAAATAAATTGAATTTTGGACTTTTCAAATGCAATTTTGCAATTTGTTGCACTTTTTGAGTTTTTTGGCATTTTTAATTCCTCTTTTTGCCTCTTTGTGTTTATTTTTTATTTTAATTCCAAAAAATAAAAGTAAATGCACTTTTGCATTCGCGGCGCAGCGGCGCGCGCGCTTAGGTGTACGTACACCTCAGCGCCTCGCAACTCTCAGGTGTACGTACACCTGAACTGCATGCATGCATGCATCCGCGTTTTCGCCAAAACGCGACTTTTTTGCTTCGGAGCCTTTAATTAAATAATCTTTTAATTGTTTTTTGCCAAAGAGTCTCGAAAATGGACTTTTGGAGCTCCAAAAGTCTCCAAACTCTGCAGGTGTAAAACCCAAAAAAGTCCAAACTCGCAGCCGCGCGAAGCCCTCTTTCGAGTTGTCTGCATGCGCTCAATTGGGGCTTTTTGGGGCCCTTAGGGGCCCCCTTTTTAGCGGCTTCTTTGCCGGTTTTTCCCCACTAATCTCCTCCGGAAAAGATCCATTTTAAGGGACTTTTTGAATTTTTTTAATTCTGTTTTTCTGAATTGCTGCAGCTCTCGGCCTCCCCGCTGCAGCAAGAGACCTTCTCTCAGCCCTCATTGCCTACGCGGCGACTCTTCTTACAGCAAATGTGAGGCCCTTTTGGGGGCCCCCAGGGGCCTCTGGGGGCCCCTCTTGAGGGCCCCCAGGGGCCCCCCAGAGGGGCCCCTAGGGGCCCCTAAAAGAGGCCTTCAAGGGCCTCAGAAGCAGCTCTGGGGACTCCCGGGACCCTCAGGGGCCCCTAAGGGCCCTGTGGGGTCCCTAAGCGCTTTTAGGGGGCCCCCTGGGGGGCCCCACGCGAGTACCCTGGGGGCCCCCCCAGGGGCCCCCCGGGGGGCCCCTGAGGGGGCCCCCTAGGGCACATGTGGGGCCCCACAGGGGTCCTAGGGACATCTGGAGTATCTGCTGGCCCTTGGGGACCGACTGAGGGTTTAGGGTTTAGGGTTTAGGGTTTATGGATTTGAGGGTGTGTTCCTTTCAGGCAGCCGTTCATGTTGGCCTGCAGCTCGCAGAGTTAGGGTTTCCTCCAAAGGTAGCTTGAAACCCTAAACCCTAATTTCCAAGCCCCAAACCCTAAACCCTAAACCCTAGTTAACAAAGTCTGGACCCTAAACCCTAGTTCTTGATCCCTCGACCCTAGCGCTCAGCCTGTTGCTGCCGGACACGCCCCTTTTCCTGAGTAGACCTATTAGCTAGGGTTTAGGGTTTAGGGTTTAGGGTTTAGGGTTTAGGGTTTAGGGTTTAGGGTTTGGTTGTTTGGGGTTTGTCTGCAGCGGCAGCACCGGGGCTTTTACAACGTGGGGCGCCTGGGGCTGTCTTTGTTCTACGTGGTCCATTCAGTGCTGATATGTGGTCCGCAAACCCTAAACCCTAAACCCTAAACCCTAAACCCTAAACCCTCGGGCAAGCCGCCGCAACTGTCTCCTTTGTCTCCAGGTCTTGTGCATGAAGAACCCCTCAGCGGATTATATCTTGCTGCTGCTTCTGTCTTGGGACTGCTGGGGGTCGATTTGCTGCTCTCAAACAAGGGCTGCGTCCCTTTGTGGTAATCTGCTGCTGCTGCTGCTGCTGCTGCTGCTGATGCTGCTGCTGCTGCTGCTGATGCTGCTGCTGCTGCTGCTGCGGTTAGTGCGTCATGGGCCCATGTTGCATATATGTGCGTATACAAGAGCTGGCCGTGTGTTTGAAAGAGACAAATCTGCTGCTGCTGCTGCTGCTGCTGCTGCGGCTGCTGCAGCAGCAGCTTTCACGGCCAATATGCTGCTGCTGGTTTGCTGCTGCTGCGTGCCCAGGTTTATAAGAGAGCGGAGGCGTTTGGGTCTTTGGATTTTGGGAGGTAAAGCTTTTGCTGCTGCGCTGCTGCTGCTGCTGCTGCTGCTGCTGCTGCTGCTGCTGCTGCTGCTGCTGCTTCTGTCTTAGTTTCTCTCCATCTCTCTCTCCTTTTGTCTTGTCTTCCTTTATCTCTTTTTTAAAATTTTATCTTCTTTTGCAAATCACTGCCACTTCCGGCGCTGCTGCCGCTGCTACTTGCTGCTGCTGCTGCTGCTGCCACTGCTGCTGCTGCCACTGCTGCTGCTGCTGCTGCTGCCACTGCTGCTGCTGCTGCTGCTTCGCTTTTTGTGCAGCTTTGGGGCTCGCAGCTCTTAGTGAGCAGCAGACGAAGCAGACTCAGCCAGCGCGGCCTCTTTTGGGTTAATTGCGAAATATTTATTTTCAATTTACTTTTAGATTTATCTTTTATTATTTATTCTCATTATTACTAAATCTTTATTATTGCATTTCAATTTAATATGTTATTGAGCCTTTATTGTTACAGATTTATTGCTGCACCTTTGTTCAATTCTTAAGCCTGTACAGTGCCGCGGGGGGCAGCCAGAGGCGCTTAAAGACCCCAAACCCTAAACCCTAAACCCTAAACCCTAGAGGAGCAGGAGGACCTTGCCTGCGTCCCCTTCTGATCCACGGGCTGTGGAGAAAGGGTTTTCATTTCCGAAGACACAGTGGAATCTTTTTTGAAGAAGAAATTCAATTGAAACTAATCAATTGAAGTTGAACTTTAAAAAACCCAACGAGTGACTCCAACTGATAAGACTCCGCAGCCTTCTGCCCCATTTATAAGGCCCTGTAGCTCTGGAGCTGTGAAATACCCCGTGGGGCAGCTGCAAGACCCAAACCCTAAACCCTAAACCCTAGGACGGGCAGCACTTGTCTGCGTGGTTCTCACTGCTGCGCCGGCTCGCAGCTTGTAATAAAGCTGCTGTTTGCAACTTGCTGCGAATTCCTCAAGAAGCCAGTTTTAGAAGATCAACTAAGTTGTTTGTGGGCTGGCGAGGCAGAATGAACTAGAAGCTGCTAAGTGCTGGCGGCTGCTGCTGCGGGGTGGCAGCAGCAGCAGCGCGAGCAGAGCTAGCAGCAGACACCCAGCTGCTGCAGCAAAACAACTAAAGTTGAACGGAAGCTGCAGTTTTGCTTCTCTTAAGTGCGTTTTCTTTGCAGGGGTGCAGCAGGAGGTGCGCAGACACCCGAGGGCGGCGCTGCGGCTGCTGTCGGCCGTTGCGTGGAGGCCACGCCGAAGAGGAAAGCGGGGAAATAGACCACTTAGGAGGGCGAGGAGAGCAAAAGAGTTGTTTTAAAACACAAAGTGACCAGTGGTCACTTCTCGGAGGACCTGCAAGCCTTCTTGTGCTCGCAGCGCGGAGTTGAACGGACGGGGGTGAGAGTACGCGCGTCCGTTTGCAGGTTTCTCGTCTTTTTCTCGAGGATTCTTCGAGGAAAAAGGCATTACAGCGTGGAACTTTGATTTAAAAAGAGTTTCCACCGGAGCTTTCCACTTTTAATGGGCCGGTTGTGGCGGGAAAAGCAGAATCCGGAAGCAACCAGCGACGCGAGCGAGCCCTGAACGCATCGACGGGCGGGGTTGGGGGCTGCGGGCCTCGAGGACTTTCTTCTTTCTTTTAGCATTTGGGACTTTCTGCAATTTCTAGCAATTGCAATCGGCGGAACAGCGCCGAGAGCCCGAGAATAGTTCGGTTCCGCGGCCTCCCGAGGAGCCGGGCGACCCACTCGATCCGGCTGTGCAACTTGGCACTTTGGTCGCCGCGAGTTCGTCTGCTTCTTCGGCTTTTTCTTTTTAATTAAAGTAGAATTGAAAACTGTACATGTTGGCGTCAGCGGATCGCGGCATGGGACGCGCCATGGGCAGATCTGGCCAGTTTCAACTTTGCTTCCTCCCCCTCTTGGCTGCCTTCGCGCGTCGCTGAAGCTGCACTCCGGCATTTTTAGGAGCCCAATGCGCGTCTCCGCAGCTTCTTTTCGCTTCTCGCCGTTGGGGCTTTCCCTGCTGCTGCTGCTGCAGCAGCTGCTGCTGCTGCGCTGCGGCTGCCCCGCCGCGGCCAGCAGCACGGCGAACAAGGAGCCCGAGCCGCGCTGGCCAGCAGCAGCAGACACGCTGACGAGTTACAACTCGGACGTGTTGAGTTCTTACGAGCAGAGCTTCCCGCCCTCAGTTTCCTTCAGTGCCGCGTCCCCGACAGCAGCAGCAGCAGCAGCAGCAGCAGGAGCAGCAGCAGAGCCTGGGGCCCCCGAGGAGGCCCCCTCGCTGCCCAACTTGGGGGCCCTGCCTCGGAGGGGCCGCAGCAAGCTGGGGGTTTCTCTGTTGGCGCTGCTGGTGGCTGCGGGGCTGCTGGCGGGGGTGCGGGGCGGGGGCGTGTTGGCAGGGCGTGGGGGTTTCGGGCCTGGGAGCAGCAGCAGCAGCAGCAGCAGCGGGAGCAGCAGCAGCAGCGGAATCAGCGGCGCGAGCAGCAGCAGCGGCGAGGGCGCGGCGAGCAGCAGCAGCGCCGCAGAAGAAGACTACGAGGCGCTGCTGGAGGCAGTGGGCAGCTTGCAGGCGGTGATGGGGGACAAGAGCGACTGCGCAGCAGCAGACACGCTGGTGGCGCGGCTGGAGGCGCTGCAGCAGCAGCAGCAGCAGCAGCAGCGCAGCAGCAGCAGCGAGGGCGCGTTCGTGGGGGAGCTGCAGGAGCTGGTGGTGGAGCTGCAGCAGCGGACGCTGGAGCGGCTGCGGTTCGTGCAGCGGGAAGCTGGCTTTCTGAGTCACAGCATAGACTTCAAAGCTTCTGCTGCTGCTGCACTAGCAGCAGCAGCAGCAACGGAGCCGCTGCGGGTGGAGCTGGCGCTGACGGAGCAGCTGGCCCGCGCGGCCAAGTGGGACTACAGCATGCTGGGGTCTTTGCTGCAGGCGGCGGAGCAGCTGACGGAGGGGCTGCCAGCAGCAGCAGCAGCAGCAGCAGCAGCACTGCATGCGCTGGCTCGCCGTGCTGCTTCTGCTGAGGCTGTCTTCGCCCGAGTGCAGCAAAGCCACCAGCAGGCCGCTCGCTGGGCCGAAGTGGCTGCGCCCGCGCAGCTGGCCAGCTTCCGCCTCGAAGCTGCTGCGCTGCTGCTGCAGCTCGACCAGGCCCTCGTGGACTTGGACTACATGGCTGCATGCGGGGGCCCCCACTTGCTGCAGCTCGCGGGGGCCCTCCGGAGGGCCCACGAGGCCCGCGCCGAGGCGGACCTTCTGAGGGCCTCCTTGGCTCGCGAGAAGAGGCCCGTGAGGGCCCTCTCGCATCTCCAGCGTCTCCGCCACTTCTGCGCAGTGGCCGAGGAGGCCTTCCTCGAGGCGGAGCAGTTCGGGGCCCCCCCGGACTCCCCGGGGCCCTCGGGGGCCCCCGGGGGGCCCCCGGGGACCCCGGGGGGCCCCGCGGAGGAGCGGGGGGGCCCCGCGGAGGAGCGGGGGGCCCCCGGGGAGGAGGGGGGGGCC